CGCAGGACATAAAAGCTACCATGGGAGAAGGCAGCAGAGGCCTCATTTCTATTTTCACTACTTCAGAAAAAGAGGAAATGAGTTGTAATAGAAATTGAAAGGCATTTCTTGACAATATCACAAAGCAATGTAATATAAGCTGTCACAGGCTGTGGAATGATTCTCCTTACCTGGAATTCATTAAGAGCAAGAGTGATACCCCTTGGAATAAGTCCCAGAGTAGAGGCGGAGAAATGCTACCGAGAGGCCTAGAGAGGAACTTAACATGGTCTGCAGCAAGTGCTGGCTGCAGCCAATTAACTGGACCCCAGCCAGTTGCACAGGCCAGCTGTCCAAACAGTCTGCAGGGAGTGCTCACTCACCACCAGTGTGGCCAGGTAATACTGAGCAGGGATTCCTAGAGAATCAGACCCTTCAGTGCTGCTTAATTCCATCTGCTTCTTGCTTTTGTAAAAACACCGCCACAATAGGACCATGAAAGAAAAATATGGAAGTTACAAAGCAGAATATGATTTACATTAAGCCCCAAAGACACTGGGTTAAAAAATAGGTCTCAGTGGCCAGGCATGGTAGCACATGCCTGTAATCCCCTCACTCTGGGAGGCTGGGGCAGGAGGATAGCAAGTTTAGGCCCAGCCTGAGCATTTTAGTGAGAGCCTTTCTCAGAATGAAAAATTTTAAAAAGTGCTAGTGATGCAGCTTAGTGTAAAGGCCTTGGATTCAGTTCCCAGTAAAACACACACACACACACACACAACACATAGGACACATAAACAAAAACTGGTGTTTTAAACAATCCTGAAACACATGGACCCCAGGTAATACATACAGTATCCATAAAAATCAGAAGAGGGGGGCCACAGATTTGGCTCAGTGGTTCCGCAGCCTGCCCTGCAAGTGCAAGGGCTCGAGTTCAATCCCTGGTACCACCACCACAACAAAACAAATTAGAATAGGGATAATGGAGGGCTGGGGATTTAGCTCAGTGGTTCGGTGGCCTGCCTTGCAAGCCCAAGGACCTGAGTTCAATCCTCGGTACTAAAAAAAAAAGAATAGAGATAATGGAATAGGCACAGCCCAAGACAAATGGATCCCAATTCTTAACCTTGGATTTAAAGTCATTACAGTTATTTACAAGGGCCTAATTCCAGTCTCTGGATATTTCCTTTACCTACAGCTGGGACATAAATTCAGTATCAGACACCAATGCTAACCTCAGACACAGTTTGGGTTTTTTTTTTGTATGGGGGATTAAACTCAGAACCTTGTGCTTGCAAGACAGGTGGCGGAACCAGTGAGCTAAGCACCTGGCCCTCACAGTTTTTTAAGCAGAGTTTTAAGAAATACCATCCAACACTTTAAGATTCAATATCAGCCTTCTGAAGATTCTGTATTTGTGGAAGTTTTTACACAGAATTCCTTTGCTCCTTTCCTTTCTCACCATCACCAGGAAATTTCAGTCCGGGGTTTTTATCCAGGAGAAATAAAAATATATGCCCACAAAAGACTTACATAACAATGTTCATAGCAGCTTTTATTTGTGATAGTTAAAAATCTAGGAAGGACCTAAGTGTCAATCAACACTATTTTTGAGAGACAAAGTGTGGTGGTATGTGATACAATGAAACAATACTCATCCATACCAAGAAAATATAACCTATACATGCAGTGACATGCATGAATCTCAAAAACATGCTGAGTGAGAGAAGCTACACAAAAATCAAAATAAACCATAGGATTCATTCATACGAAATTATAGACTGAAAAATTCAGTGGTGGCAAAATCAGAACAACAGTTGCATGTGAGTTTGTGCTGTGGGTTAAATTATGTCCCCCAAAAGATATATTGAAATCTTAACCTTTAGTATCTGTGAATGTGACTTTATTGAGACATATCTTCCTGCAAGCGTTAAAGACATCATAGTACAGTGATACATGCACACCCATATTTAAAGCAGCACAATTTATAATAGCTAAATCTTGGAACTGGCCTCACTGTCCATCAGCAGATGAATGGATAAAGAAAATGGGGCATACATAGACATTCCTTGTTTGATGATGGAGTTCCATTCCTGCAACTAGTTCGGTTACAAAAATTGGTCAGTAAATGAGAAATTGTATACAGGATGAACATTACAATATTCAAAGCAAAAAATAGTCAAAGAAAACTCCAACTTAATGCCTTTACTTTTATTTGCATCACTCTTACATGCAGTACTGTAATGTAGAACAGAACAGAGAACTACCATACTGTATTGTACAGTGCAATCAGTAAAAATTACAGTACTGTAAAAATGAAGTGTACTATACCAAAAAGACACTGAGGCTCTATAAACTAGGTTCACAGAACTGCACAAAAGAAAAAAGACGAGTTGTGTGTCTGAGTGGAAGGTCGTAAGTCCAAATAGCACACCTTGGTTGTAAGTCTGAACAGTCATTGAGCAGATATGCTGTTAATGAGGAATATCTGTGTACACAATGGGGGACTGCAAGGCCATAAAAAGGATAAAATTGAGTCATTTGTAGAAAAATGGATGCACCTTGAAACTATAATGCATAGTGAAATAAATCAGACACAGAAGCTTAAATATTGTGCAGTTTAGGTATAAGTAATCTGAAGAGCAAAATAAAAGATAGACAATAGGAAACAGTGAGTTAGAACTTTTGCAAATGGGAAGGGGATCTAGAAAAGTAAGGAAGAGGGAGGGAGAGAAGAGGACAGGGAAGTAAAAAGGATGAAGATGTTTAAGTACATGTACCAACTCCCTGCAATGAATGTATTCATCATGTATCACAAACATATACTAATAAAAATAAAGACAAAACAAATGAAAAGTGAATATGTAAACAAAATAACAAAAAATGAGATAAGTAGGATCTCTGTACATGTAATTAAGTTTAGATGAAGTTCTTAGGGTGGGCGCTGATCTAATGTGACTAGTATCCTTAATGCAAAGAGACACAGAGACAGACACCCAGTGAGAACGCCACATGATGACAGTGATATGTGCCTGTGTGCTAAAGAACACTAGAGATCGTCAGTGATGTCAGAAGCTGAGAAAGACATGGAACAGGTCTCTCCCTGGAGCCTCTGAAAAAAGTAGCCCTTGCTGGCACTTGATGTTGGGCCTTTTTCTTCTAGAACAAATGTCTGTTGTTTCAAGTCATCCAGTTTGTGATCATTTGTTAGAGTAGCCACAGGAAGCTAGTACAGGATTGGTGGAGTAGAGATGATGGCTACAACGGTGCATTAAGAAACATTCTGTTGGGCTTGGGATTTAGCTCAGTGACACCATGCCTGCCTCGCAAGTGCAAGGTACTGAGTTTGATCTCTGGTGCCATTAAAAAAAATACACCTAATATTGCTCTTAGACATGTGCATGTCACTCTAAGTTTCATCTCCACAAGTACCATAAATAAATCTTCAATTCTGTTTAAATGAAGCATTTAGGGATAAAGTATGCTGATGTTGCAATTTACTTTATTTGAAGGATGGAGAGGTAGATATATATGTGATAAATACAGCAAAATACTAAGCACTGTACAACCTAGGTATTGAGTATAGGATGTTTGTTGTGTACTCATTTCAATTCTTATGTGTTGGAAATTTTCATAATAAAATATTAGAGGATAAAAACTGTGTTTATTGTATGAAAGCATCTTCAAGACAAATTCCTTAGCCCACCACACCTGTGCTCCTTCTAGTCAAACCAGGAATTTAGGATCCGGCTCTACCTCAACACAGTCTACAGTGTGAAAAACTGTGTCACAGCATAGTTGAGTGATTGTCTCAAGGTCACCTGGCTAGTAATAGAGCTGAAGTCTTACTTATCTCCTAACTTTTTAAGGACTGGGATCATCCTGTCTAGGCTGTCATTTTATACTCATCATCTAACCCAGAGTCTGTACCTGGTACCTGGTGGAAGCTCAGGAAGGAGGAAGGCTGAAAAGCCACGCTCTTTATCACTTGGTACATGCCTTACCCAGACCTTCCTTGTGCCCTGTTGCTCACTGGATCTATGACTGTTCCTTGAGCCCAAATCCTCACTGATGCATTGTACATAGTTGCTTGATGCCACAACACCAACCTTGCTCGCTCCTCTTCTAAGGACTGAAACATTGATCTCCAGACTTTGATGAGTGTTAACAGTTTCCTGCTCTCAGCCTTACCCTGATTTCTCACTTATCTTAGAGATTTCACATTGCAACCTTAACCAACCTCTTTGCTAGTGTCTCCCTTTTCTTTGGATACAGGTACAGAACACCCAGTCTCTCAATTCTGACTGCCTGTTGCTATAACCTTTGCATTGGATTTGATATAAAGAAAAACAGAGATCTTTGTACAAAATCCTTGTAAGTATTACCTACTTCCTGGCTGTCTCTGGCTCTGTTTTATCTCAGCATGTTTCCTTCACAGTGTTCTTCAGATTCTCACATCCCAGGTGTCTGAGTCCCTTTCTACCGCTTTAACAGATAACCATAGGCTGGTTTATTTACAAAAGAAAGACATTTATTTTCCACAGCTCTGGATGATAGCAAGTCCCATACCAAAGCACCAGCATCTAGCAAGGTCCTTCATGTTGCATCATCTCATGGCACAATGACAGAAGAGCAAACAAGGGCACAAAACAGAGAAAGGCATTCCTGCAATAACTAACCCACTCTCATGATGACATTAATTCATTCATGAAGATCAATCCCTCATGATTCAATCACCTCTTAAAGGTTTAGAATTTTTAATATTATTGCAATGGTGATTAAATTTTAACATAAATTTTGGAGGGGGCAGCCAAACTAGAGCATCTGGCAAGGTGGCAGACTGCTTAAATCAGACCTGCAGTCTGTTATTCCAGGGGCTGAAACAATGTTGGAAGCCTAAAGAAAAGAAAAGGATGGTGGAGAGGAAAGAAAAAAAGGAAACACAAGAAAGTATTTTTGTCTCTTGAAAATGTAGGGCAGCATGTGCTTACTGAAGGCTTAGGGTGGAAAGTTAACTTACTGTGCTCATTTTGGCAGCACATACGCTAAAACTGGAATAATACAGAGAAGATTAGTGCAGTTCCTGCAAAAGGGTGACATGCAAATTCATGAAGCATTTCATATTTTGGGGTGGAGTATCGAGGATCAAACTTGGAACCTTGCACTTGCAAGGCAGGCAGCAGAATCACTGAGCTAAATCTCTGGCCCTCATATTTTTAAATTGCATTGCCTAAATAAAACTTTTTCAATTTATTAAATGGAAAATATATGTTATTAAAAAGAAAGTATATTTATTTCATCAGGAACAAAGATAAATTACTAATTCAACATTTTGAGGTAGGGGCAGAAAATGTGAAGGAGAAAAGACTTGAAATGGGGAAAGATCAATAAACACTGTGCAAAACAACAGCAGTACACAAAACCAACATACAAAATTCAGTAACATTTCTATATAAATGTAAAAGTGGAAATAAAGTATTTGTAAATGGGGAAGGGAGGAGGGTGTGAAAGGAGGGCAGGGACAAGGCCAAAAAATGATAACCAAGACCTGTCGTGTAAAGTTACAAGATCCCAATAATGAATGTAACTGTACTGTATACCTAAAAGGTACCAATAAACTCAATGAGGAAAAATAAAAAATTTTTTAAAAAAATACCACCAATCCATAGTAATGAAAATAGTGTGGCACTGGAATTAAAGCATTTATATCAACCAATGAAAATAGAAAACCTGGAAGTAAATCTACGCATCTACAGTCAACTGACTTTTTAACTAAAGTGCTAAGAAAATTAAGTGAGGAAAGGACAAATTCTTTAATAAACGGTGCTGGGAAAATTGGCTATCCGTGTGCAGAAGAGTGAAACTAGACAACTATCTCTCACTATATGCAAAAATCAAATCAATGTGTGTTAAAGCCTTACTGAAAACGTGGAAATATAAAACTGCAAGAAGAAAACAGAGAAAATACTTCAGGGCATTGGAATGAGCAAGGACATTTTTGGACAAGATCCTAAAAGCACAGGAAACAAAAGCAAAATAAACCAATAAGACTACAGTAATACTTTGATTTGCAAGCATAATTTGTTTCAGAAACATGCATGTAATCCAAAGCACTTGTATATCAAAATGAACTTCCCATAAGAAATAATGGAAACTCAGATGACTTGTTCTACAACCCAAAAACATTCACATATAACTAATTACAATACTGTAAGAAAATACAAGATAATAAAACAAAATAAAGAGAAAAAATTTAAAGAGTAACCTGCACCTCCCTTTGAAAACTATCATGGCTGGTGTGAGGGAGACAAAAGAGAAGAGGGTTATTGCGCAGGATGACTTTCATGTACTACTCGTACTGCAAGATACCACTTGTTTTTCAAGTTAAAATTTATTGAAATGATTGCTGGTTTTTTTTTTTGTACCGGGGATTGAACTCGGGTCCTTGCACTTGCAAGGCAGGCACCAGAACCATTGAACTAAATCCCTGGCCTTATGCTTGCTCATTTGGTGGAACACTCACAGAACAATTTACACACAATCCAAGGTTAAACTGCATATCAATCTAAAAAGCTTCTGCACAGCACAGGAAACAGAATGAAGAGACAACCTACAGAATGGGAGAAAATATTTACAAACTTTTCTTCCAGCAAGGAATTAATACCTAAAATATATAAGGGATTCAAACCATTCAGTAACAACAACTCCCTGCCAAAATAATTTATTTAAAATGGGCAACAAACCTAGAAACTTCTCAAAAGAAGACATACAGGGCCAAAGATTTAGCTCAGTGGTTCCGGCCCCTGCCTTGCAAGTGTAAGAACCTGAGTTTGATCCCCGGTACCAAAATAAATAAATAAATAAATAACAAGAAAGAAAGAAAGAAAGAAAGAAAGAAAGAAAGAAAGAAAGAAAGAAAGAAAGAAAGAAAGAAAGAAAAAGACATACAATTTGCCCATGCATATATGAAAACAAGCTCAATATAATTATCATGGAAATACACATGAAAATCTATAAGGAATCATCTCTCTCCTGTTATGAATCAATCTTATCAAAAAGGCAAAAGATAACAGGCATTGTTGAGGAAGTGAAGAAAAGGGAAACCTTATGTACTATTGGAGGGAATGTTACTAATTCAGCCAATGATGCAAAAAAAATGGACAGAAATTTTGCCTCAAGATGAATTATAACTCAAGATTCACTCAGACCTGATTTAGATATGTTGATGAAGGTCTGGACTTAGATGTAATGCTACAGTGGGTTATGACTTTGGCGGCTCTTTGGGATGGGATGCGTGAATTTTGCATAGAAGAAAGACATGAATTTTCGAATCCAGAAGGTGGATTATTATGAACTGAATTATGTCCCCACTCCAAATTCATATGTTGATGCCAGAGAACCCAGTGTGATGTTATTTTAAGATAAAAGTGGTCATTGACGTTAAATAAGACCATAGGGTAGGTCTCTAGTCCAATAGGACTACTGCCCTTATTTGAATAAAAGACACTGGGAATACAAGCTAACAGAGAAAAGGCCTTAGGAGAACACAGAAAAGACAGCCATATGCTAGCCAAGGAGACCTTTGAAAAAACCAAACTTTGATCCTGGCATTCCAGACTTCAGAGATATTTGAAAATAAAATTTTGTGGTTTCGAACACTCAGGCTATAGTATTTTGATAAGGCAGCTGGCAGATGACACAGGTGGTGTCCTGGGTAGGATCCTGGAATAGAAAGAGGATCTTAGGGGGGGAAATTAATGAAATCTTAATTAAGTAGGTACAAGAACTCTCTGGACTATCTTCACAACTTTTCTGTGCATCGAAAACTAGTCTTAAATTAAATATTTAATTTTTAGAAAAACTGGGAGAGAAGTATCCAAAGCCGATAGTACATGCAAACAGATTTGTAAAAAAGGTTCTAGACTTCATAGACATCAACATTCCCTCCACCACTACCTTCCCTCTCTAGACACATACCAGAGCTCCCTTTAGTTTTTCTTGTAGGCTCCTTTCAACATATGAAGCAAGGTGTGTGTCACTCCTGATCCATCTGCCTTGAAGCTACTGCACAAATATTTCTATTAGAAATAGATCATGCTCTTTTTGAAGATCTTTTTTCCTCTCCCTTTGAGAGACAGTAAAAGAGCAGCTGGGTGAATGTTATTACAGAACATGGAAGGGCTGGAAATATCATCAGATTTTCCATTTTCCTAGAGTATAATCTATTTCTAGCAGAAATAATTATGCAGTAGATGCAAGGGAGATGGATCCGGATTGACACATATCTTGCTTCATATGCTGGAAGGTAGCTTGAAGTACAGGGAGCTCTGGTATGCTGGTAGAGGGCCACAAAGGAAATGCTGGTGTTAACAGGGAATGCTTTACAACCTAGCTCCTATCTGCTCCATACCAATATAGATAACATTACTCTTTGAGTATCTGACTGAGCCTCCCTCTGTAAACGTTTCATCCTGCCAATTAAGACAATATTCAGTCACCCTTCATTCCCTTTCCTATACATTTTCCTTGTAAGTAACAAGAAGGAAAAAAAAAAAGGAAGGGAAATCCATGAGGAACTCTAGGCCTGTAAAGAGGTTTTGTAAAGAGGCTACTAGAACAGTGTTCTTAAAACAAAGGAACCTGGTATCAAGTGATGAGATCCATAGGGCAAGTGGCGTGTGAAGGAGTTAATGTGAACAGGGTAGCCCAGCTTTCACTCCTCGTCGGCCACACTTTGGACAAACCAGCGGTCTCCATCAGGGATGCTCTACTCTTTTGCCCCTAAGACTAACCTCCATCCCAACAGGCAAATCTGGGTTCTTTGATCTATTTCTTTCATGAACCACAGCATACTTTTACCTGAAAAGCAAGCAGGGAAGAAGACATTAGGCCCCACAAGCCCCCTGCTTCTGTAGGGGCACTAGCACAGCAGTGCTGATGAAATGAGAAAGGAAATCTACAAGAATCAGAGGCACAATGTAGCACTGACCTGTGAAACAGAAGGTACTGTGAACAGGGCAGCAAAGTTACCTGTTCATCTGTTCCTGCTGCTTTTACTAAAGAGAAAATTGTTAACCTGTGTCCCAGTCAGAGCATTACCAAACAGCTCTGGTCTCCCTCTACTCCCCTAAGGGAGGCAAAGGTCATTCTTGATCTGTTTCCCACACATTCTTTCCTTTGGGTGTAAATGAAGCTGAAAGATGGAGACATGAAGGAATTATAGTCCTTTAGCTTTATGAAGCTTCACTATTTCCACAGCGTAGGAGAAACAAGATTTTGGGTATGGCAGAAGAGAAACACATATAACCTTTTCAGATAATTTTGTAAACATTTATAAAGAAAAGGCTAGAGAAAGTAAATCAGCAAAACAAAGTCTTTTGCTATCCAAGTTCTTCTGTATAT